ATAAAGTTAACTGAATTTCGGCCAAACACACGTTCACATACACACCGACGCATTTATGCATAACCCGCTTACGAAGAGCGGAGTTCTCCTCAAGTCGTATGTGTTTAAGCAATATGGTTCATCTGCGAAAAATTCAATCAGATTGTGCTCGCACACTGCACCCCTACATTCTCCTACGCCCCGCGGATGGGATACAGTCCAGTCACTTTTTCGTACCTACCAACAGTGTTTTCAAACTGCTGCCTGTACTCCTAGCAAATTCCAGCGCTCTAGGTCAACATTGACCATTCTCGCTCACGCTGCGCCTCCTGCGGTCGAAGTCTGGTTCTGCGAATAATCCACGATGTCCCCATCCTACCTCCTGTACTCCCACCAGGTTTGAACACTCTAGGTCCACGGGAACAGAAGTCATGAATTTTCGCTCAAAAAATATCTCGCGCACAATCTGCACCTGCGAGCAATGTCCGATCCTACTACTTACCATGAGTATTCCCATCCCACCGCCAGTACTCCTACCGAGCTTGAACGCTCTGGCTCCACGGGAACAGGAGCTATGATTTTACAGTCAAACACAGTTGACGACTGTAGGATCCTTCCTGTATTGACGCCTGAAGAATGTCTTGTGACGAGGGGGCGGCATTCCCCTACAGGCATCCTTGAAGAATTTCTGTTCGAATAAGTTCATTAACCGATTGGCGACCGCGCTTTTATGTTGTCCTTACATTGACCTCTTTTTTCTCTTATATCTGTAGTTAGAAATGAATAATTCCTAGACCGCAATGTTTCAAGATTATCTAGAAGGCTGTGAGCTCAGCTTATACATGAAAACATGAAGAATTATAGGAACACCTGATAAATAATATAAATACCCCAGCGAGCCAAAAACCTGCGTCCTGGCATCGGGACGCATGGTCGCCAACGTGTTAAAGTTGATTCGAACCGAACTAATGACACTCTCACTGGAAGAGAGCTCAATGCTTTCTGATACCGCAAATTTGTTACACTACAATATAGAAAGCTTATAATGACACTTTTGAAAATTCCACATAGCAAGCGTGCAGGTGTGCCGCAACCGCCGTATGAGAACTACCAACCCCCTTCATTGTTTAGCTTTGTTCATTAATGTAAGACAAGAACTCTCAAAAAAAAAAAAACCAGTCCTACGCACATCAGAGCGACACTTAGTTGAAACGCGTTTACCTCTGAATATAACCAACGTCACTGCATTTCTCTTGATTTCCTTCAACGATCACTTCCCGACCATTGATGTGGACACGAAGTTCGTCTGGCTTGAAAAGTGAGACATCCATGGAAATGGAGAATTTAGTTGCGTTATTGATTACCTGAAATAAGCGGTTTATTTTGAAAAGATTTGGATGTTCTTTGCTATGCGTGCTCCTTGCACCTTTTTGTTCGAACTGTTCTAGAAATCGGTCCCGCTATATCTGAAACTGCGCGAGTCAAACATTCACAATCTGATGAGCTACTACGCTTACTCACATTTCTCTCCTCTTCGATCACGTTGCTACTCGCCTCTTCATCATTCCAACAAGAGAATATTCGATTTCCTATACTACATACGCAGTCCTCGATAATCTTCCCGCTTACCATTCTCTGAACTTATTAACATAGATTGATTAACCCATTCATGACAATGGCACCCAATGTTGGGTGCCACCATGCTTTTTTGTTTCTTTGCATGTTTAAAACTTATTCAATCATTTCATGTTTACCAACGAACTTTATAGCATTTGAAGCATTTATATTCATCCTGTGCATTTATATTCCATGTTGTATAATAGTTTTATTTCAAAAATATATAGTCAATGGAGTACTAATGAGGAAAACTACGTTCTTTCGCAAGATTAATGAACGTCGCAAAAGCTTTATCGACAGTAAAAGCCCTGATTTGCGATCATATGACCCCGATTTGTCTCAGCATGGCAGTCGCAAAGCCCAAATACATCTTCAAGGACTATGAAAGTTGTACGAATTCCTACTGCGTACTCTAATATCACCTCCAAACAAGGCCCTTGAGGACTCATTTCGAAGCCTCAATCGTATATAATGAACGGAAATATATCTCGAGACTTCTGTTATACAGGACATATGCCAAATTTAGCAATCCAGTGGATGAACTTTCTCCCGGAACAATGGCACCCACCGGTTTGTGCCAGTCGCACGAAAGTAAGGGGACGTGGTCCCATGAGTATACCACGTTGAAAAGCGCATTGTCGTCAAAGGGTTAGAACCTTTGGATCGCCCGGCTACTGGTTCCTCTTCTTAAGACAAAGTTGCAGTGATATGCCAACCCGCCACTCCTTTTGAAACAAATGACACTTTTCTGACCACGAAATTCGACAGAGGCACTGCAACTTTGACACTAGAACCAAAAGAGAGTCGCTCAGCACAAACAGTGCAGTGGAGCTGGAATTCAACACGCGTCGATGTTTTCGCCTATAACTAGAAGTCTCGATCGGTTGCTCTTCACTTCAAAATAATCACCGATCAAAAATTCTTTGAAACTCAAGCCTTGAAAGGTACTCGCAAATGTTGTCGAGTGATCAAGCACCATTATCAAATGTTATCAGCAAGCCTTCTTTTCTCTAAGATACATCATTAGTTGAAAGTCACAGATATGGGTGGTTCGATAAGTTTTGTCGTAAACGATAGCCGGAACAAACAGAACCGTAGCCCTTCAATGAGCCACAAAACTCGCAAGGTAGCGGTCGTAACGTAACAGTGAGAAATGAACCGAATTTTCATCTCCTCATGATAAAGCGCCTTTAATTGGTCCCCATCACAACACTTACCACTCACTTTCTGTTATCCTACTCTACCATCCCGTCTTATCTAAAGGCATATATTAAAGAGTAGAAGCTATATCGTAACACCGAAGGCGTTAAGATTCAATTGGCATGTAGCTCCTGCTTTTTAAGCTCTTATCGGTAGTTATCAATCCTCTTATCGGTCATTTACGGTCCCAGCATACTCTATATCACAAGTCGGACCGTCTAGGCTCCATTACTAAAGCAATTATTTCAGAGCTTTTCCACCTCTAAGGTTTGTTGTTTTTCCGCAAGGCGGAGGTAGTGTAGTGGCAAGGGGTACATTATAACACACACACATGGTCGCGGCCTCGAATCCCGGACCGATATCCATTTGGAACATCCAAGCCTTCATCTCTAGAAGGTCGGTTAATTGGTACCTGAATCGTCTGGGATGATGAAAACACTGACTTGCACATCGGCTGGCATAGCAAGACATGGTGTAGGCTACATATATACGCATACAATTTCCCACTACGATTTTATATGGATGTCGAATACGGGGCGCATCCCTTCAAACGGGACTGGATAACGCCCGGACTTATCCTTTTACTCCATCAGTTCCTAGCAACTTCTTGGATCACGTCATCACCAAAAAGCCAAGGTTTCGTAATTACAACTTCTCCCCGAATTCTCACGGACTGCGGCAGTGGTTCCGCGGCGACTCTCCGTATCCTTCCAATGGGAATTCGAATCTTTCCTCTCACAACGAGCAATCGCGTGCGGCTAGCACGGTACGCCGTTCAGGGAGAAGATACTAGATCCTAGTTACCACAGAGCGTAGCCACCTGCTTTCTACAGCTCATTATCAGCCGCTATAGGTCGTTATCAGTTCCCTTCACCGAGGAGTCTACGATCCGTTATATCCTACACCACCTATTGAATTGCCAAGGGTTTACTGTTAACGCTATGGGCGTCAGGGACCTAGTGGCTTTTACCTTCTGCGACTCTTTATCAGCCCGTATCGCCTTTTATCAGCTATCGCCATCATCCTTGTCACCAATTATCTACGGTCCCTTCACTTTCCACACCTACAAACATGCCAAAACTCCACAATTAATCCCAAGGGCATTATAGACCTAATGGTTCTCTTGCCTTCAATGATCGTATCAGTCCCTATCAGCTGTTATCAATCCGTGTCACCAATCATCTGCAGTGCTCCACACACACACAGCACGACACACACATACACTTACACATACACATACACACCACTTACCAATGTTCCAATGCTCCGCCGTTAACCCGAAGAACGTTATTGATCCAATGGCCCTGGAGTCTTACATGGCTCGTTATCGGTCCCTACCAATTGTTATCACTTTCTATCAATCCCTGGTCGGACACACACACGCACACATAAACACATATACATAAACACATACACACTTGGCGAATTACATGTAGTAGGGATAGGACAGGGATATGGGTACACAGGTGCGTCCGAGGATGCGCGCCACAAATTGCGCGGGGAAATTCGTGACGTGTTCCCAACGACTCTGGCGGCTGTTATTGGGGCACAAGTTTGAAGAGGAGTAGATAAGTAGGGTCAGCCGACTGTACTAATCTACTTCACTTCAGATTCAGATCAGACAAATCTGCTTTTCTTTGCTACTCAACGCAGACTACAGAGTAATTGAACAAAGACTTGATATTCAAAAAAAGAATGAAGCATAGTAGACGCGCTTGAGCACTTTAACAGCTTGAAGTCTACGTCCTAACATAAAACGAGGGAATATAGGCAAGGGATATTTCGATCAATAGCCGACGGTCACCGATCTTTTGACTTTATGGAATGCACAAAACACTAGAAAAAAAGACTGCATTGAAATGTTACTGAACGTGGAGTCAACTTTACGTCCCAATCCCAAGAATGATTACTTGAGAAAAGTCGGTGGAAAAGTAGTTTGTGGGGGAGGGGGGCATAGCAGTTTTATTATGCCAGTTAACACGGTGTTAGTGTTATTCTGTGTTATACTATCACTGTGCCATTTCGAAGGAAGGAACATGTCGGGTGGGTGAGGCAATTACAAAAGCTGAAAAGGAGCAAGAATTGAACATCCAATTACCTCGCCCACCGCGGTACCTCCTCCCTCCTAGCTTCCCCTGTACATTAATCCAGTATAACACAGAATTCCAATACTGTAACAGTATTAAGCGCGATCTCCCTCTCAATTACATTTTAGCCAACAAAATCTTGTAAGAGCAAAAGACAAACAGAAAAGCCAAGAACCCATACCTCTCACACTTCCGCGAGAGTGAAAAAGACGACTGAATGAACTGACCAACGCGCTGAACTTGGACCAACTGCCGATCTGGTATTACCGGTGCTGGAAATTACGGCAAAAACAATGATAAGACAGCGATGACGTTTCGTCTGAACCCACTTAATACAAATCCGGTCATGTTGAGCAAGAAAAGAAAGATTTATGGATGTATCCAAGTTCATGTGATGGTCATCGGATCGCTAGCGCTACGAGCCATCGAACCAACCACGTTCAGGTACGCGCGCTTAAATAAGCAACAACTTTCCAACGAAATCCTATTCACAAAGGACCCCGTTCAAACGTTCGTACATCTCTTCATGAACGTAGATCTATTGAAAAACCAGAGAAAGAAATCACCTGTAATTTGGTCGAACAAAAGCAAAAAACCTGTTCGGAACTTCGTCGTATTTCATCGATCAAGCCATCCATTACTAACATCTAATCTGAACACAACCGTATTGCATAAAATAAAGCCGAATTTTTAGAAAAAAATGTTCTAGTAAATACGACTGCTACTCGAAACGGACAATCCTGCTTGGATATGTCTGCTCATTGGCAAAAACTAGAAATATCGAAAAACTTGAGGATTCATTTATTAGGACAGAAATGCAAGAATTGAAGCTGTGTTTTGACCTTCAAAACTCAATAACAATGGCGATTTCTAGATGCACCCGACGAATGAACATCCTCACGAAACTTGTGCATGTTCTTGAGAAAAGAGAAGACCGGCACTTCTCATTTGTAATCAATAAAAAATGTAAAGATAATGGTACCACCAAGGCAAAGGAAGGTGTTTGAATGAGACCGGTGAGGATTGATGCAATTTCAATTCAGAAAAAAATGAATCACGCCAAATAACCACAGGATCAGTCATACTAATCAATAGCAACTTAAAATTAGATGACTTGATAGATGTCTTCTCGGTTACAATCAACACTTACAAATTCTACATCGATTATACAGAGTAGGTGAGCAGGATGTAGGCGTAACAGCCCTGTTCGCTGCATACCAGCCAAGACTAGCTTAGAACACTTCGTCACGAATAGTGCAGACTACGACATCTGACCTGCGGGGGACGTGCGATTCGTGCGATTCCGGGTGCGCGCGGCAAATTGAGCATCGAAATTCGCGATGATTCAAACAACTCCTGCGCCTATTATTGGAGCACAAACTTGGAGCAGAGTAGGTCAGTAGGATCAGCTGACCATACCCAACTATTCTACTTCAAGTTTGTGCCCCAATAATAGGCGTCAGAGTCGTTCGAATCGCACCGAAATTCGCCGCGCAATTTGCCCCGCGCACTCAGAATCGCACGAATCGCACCACACCCCTGACCTGCTGGCAGGATAGTAAGTAGGCCATTGTCCCATTTATTACACACCGGTGGCAGCCTGCAATTTCGTATTAGCGGCAACTACCGTAACTCCACGCTTACTTTCATTCATTTCCAGAGACTGACTTAGGATGATTTGTATGAGCATGACTTCATATGAAGAGCTTCACTCCCCGAAACGCTGTCACCACTCTATCTTCAGCAATGGCTATCCACTTCGTGTTTATGCTATGTTTTCCTTTTTACATTCGTCCTTTTTATATATTCTTATTAAATGAAATGAAATATTCTCAACTTCGCGTCTGTAAAATGCGGGCATGAGCATGAGGTTCCAGCTCAGATCACTTGGCACCTCCACCAATTGGTTGGCTGTTGAACAGTCTGAAAGACTCAGCTGAACTACTATCGATTCTATGCGTTGGAAATTTCGTGTATTTCGTAATATTAGTAAGGAACAGGTAAAAAACATTCTGAAGTTAGGCACTGTTAAAGTCGAAACCTTTTGCTCTCTCAGAGGAGGCTGGCACCATTCAAATGACTATATTAACCACGACTTGATGGAAACTACAATAAGAGTTGACCAGACCTAATAAAATATTTGATCTCATTATACACAAGTACACTACAAGCTACAACATGACCTACAGAAATATTGTTACATAAACTAGGTGAAAATGTAGTTGGGGGGTGCCAGCGCCCTTTTGTGCTCTGCGTCTCTGACATCGGCGGCAGAGTGCAAAGAGATCGCAGAGATGGATTCCTCCACTTCTAAAGGTTAGGGAAGGAGCTCCGGGGTGGGAGAGATAATTATCTCCTGCAAAAAGCTGGGATGGGATAAAAACTGAACATCCAATTGGTTCACCCACCCCGGAGCTCCTTCCCTAACTTTTAGAAAGGGAGGAGCTCCGGGATGGGTGAGATGATTAGATAGGGTAAGAAATGAAGAGACGCAGAACACAAAAGTGCCTGGCACCCCAACTACATTTTCACCCATAAACTTTATCATGAATTTGGTCGATGGGTATGCGAGAAAAGACCGCCACAACACTTCTCTGCCCCACACTGACGCACTTCAAAAAGTAGCTGACGAGATTTCATCAACAGAACAGCTCAAGCACATCCCTCTTCTCACCTCAAGGGCTGCTTCCAGAGTTCAACGACCGGCCGAGCAAGCGGCTCTGGTCACGTGTTGACAACGCTGGTCAGATTGCGATAGAGGCCGCGGGTGATTCGTTTTAGTCCTGTATTGTCAACATATGGCCAGCGGAGCCGCAATCGGTCGCGCGGTCGATAAACTCTGAAAACATCCAAGAGGTGATGTCATGATTGTTGAAGGATTACTCAGTTTACCACTACACTTATTCAATTAAATTATGAAAAGTGAAGTCAGAATATACAAGTTGGTGAGAATTCATACGCTCGGACCACTGTTTACACACTATAACCTTAATTTACTGTTTTTCTCCTACCTTCACGGTTTCAGAGCAAAGAAGCGCCAGTAATTTTCGAACAGGGCTAAGCGCTTGCAAATACAGGTGACCCAGAATCCTTTCAGAACAGCCGGGTAAAGTTGGATTGGAAACTCAAGCTGACCAACTAAGGCAAGTTCTTAAACACATGCAACGACCACTCGAACATGATTCAAAGCAAGGGTTAAGTTACGGTGGTTGTCGTTAGCACGCAAGCTGGCATTACTTTTCTATCATACATCAAATTTGTGCCCAATAATAGGCGCCAGAGTCGTCTAAATCACCTTGAATTTCGCCGCGCGGATTGCCGCGTACAACCAGAATCGTATGAATGTACCCACACTCTAGACCACCACACTCTTCATCAGAACTAAGAGCGCTCCCCATGTATCGGTTTCTCAAACCATGTGTGTATTCGCCCATCGCTCACTTCGGACCTACCTACCATCGTCACAGCTCTACAGCCGGTTACAAGATTGTTGTCAATGTTGTCAAAGAAAATTTCTCTCGGTGAGAATCAGAAGGAGAAGCAGTCTCTGCGTGTCGTATGTGCCAGCAGAATGGGAGCGTATCCGCCCGTTGTTCCTACTCTCCCCCAGAGCATTCGTTAAGATTGTTCAGGAGAACATGTATGTGATTCGAGGAAGGATTATGATATAGGACTGGTTAAATTGAAAACCGGAGAGAGTGGAATGAGGGAGACATAGGTGCGATGGGTAATTAGCCAAGGGGTGCTAGTGACTTGCCAGTTTATGCACCCTGAAAGAAGTAAAGGCCTTATTTTTGTTGCAATATCAAGAAAATAACTGCTCAGAATTCATCACGCTAAAGTAACTGTGTGATATTGCAGGAAACCCACGCTTTTCAGTATTCCAAAAATCTTCACCCTGCGTACAACAACACCGTCAGGAGATTTGCAGCAACGAATCAACCTGAGCTCAAGAGATTGTATTATGGATGAAGGCAACGAGGGTAGGCCAACTTCCCGTCTGCGCTCTATCCGCCTGCAAGTGAAATGCCTATTGAGGGGAGAAAAAGACAAAACGCCGTGTCACTTAACCCGCGGGTGACAACAACGCTGTAACCCCGGACAGTCTTAGTCGCTTTCCACTCGCCATTGGGTTGACAACGGCCTTGTAACCCTGACCAGCCTTATTCATTTTCTAGTCACCACTGGGTGCATTCAGACTCCACCGACGTGCACTGTTTCCACCAACCGACCGACCGACGGGGTTCGTGGCCACGTTGATAGGGCAGGATAGTTGCGATCAGGGCCGCGTGAGTCGTGAGGGTGCGTGATCCATCGGTGTCCGACGTTGTCAATTTGAAGCCGAGAAACCCGTCGCTTGGTCGATCGGTGGAGTTTGAAAAAACCCACTGGAAATTAGTCTGAAGCGTGTAAGCCATAAAATAGAGTCTAGGCTTGGATATTTTACAATCGGGTGCTTATGGTCTCAATAGCCACTGGCTGCATGCACAGAACGTAACCATTCAGCCGACATCTACTCGTTAGTGTACACGGGTTGTAACATTGGCACCGACTATCAATTTTCAAAGAGAAAACCACAGAAGATTAAGATTAGGCTTTGCATAATGTCAGGCATAGTTGAGATTCCTCACAATATGGAAGAAAGACAAAGTCAGGAAAAAACATCAAATCAAGAAATTGTAACACGAACTTCGAATCGTAACTGTTGAAATGAAAGCGGCTAGCAGTGGGAACTTGGAATGTTGTGTCAAACTGAGATGATCCGAGAGCTCTTTTTCAGTAAGAACTCCTAATTATCAGGTTGACGATATAAGACCCATTTTCAGCATCTCATCTTCAAGATCTCGCAAATTCCTTTCCAACATTTCCACTTCTTCCAAACGGCCAGCTGTCGCTGCTTGCGTTAAGTACCTTAGACAAGATTTGACTTCACATTGAGCAATAGAATCACAAGGTAGATCACGAAAGGAATACTAAATTATGACAAGACTAGAAGCCAGGAATGGGCTGTATCAAGAAGGAGTCGTTCACCTGTTTCGATAGTAGGTTGTCATCTACGTCACACAAACATTGTCAACCAACAGCTTATCAGAACACCATAGAACAATACAGTGACTAACCCCTTGACTCAGATTCTAGTTTCAGATGAACCATAGCATATCATCGCCTGTTTCATTTGTCGTAAGGGTCTCAGTAACGTCGGAGGTGCAGCGGATCTTGAGGGATACGAGGCACAGCATTCCTTTCTCTTTCCATTCCATTCATTAAGAAATCTGACCACCGCGCTGATGCCCGCTTAGGTGTTCGTTTGAAGTACCGAGGGATCCAATCAGGAACCGCCGTGGTCCACGGTCACCACGATATCGTCTAAGGAATCCGGCCCACCTGATCTTCGACTACATGCCCTGAGCAAAGGCATCGCGGATCTTCTTCGCTGACGGTGTATAGCGGGGATGATGTTAAGTAACGACTGTCAATCTTCCTCTCAAGTCTTCCCATTCCAGATGACGCATGATGTTCTCGAGGGCACTAAAAAGCTTCGGCAAAATGGTATCGCATTACCGAACTCCTCTCTTCACTTTCACAATGCCTTCCTTATTGAATGGCAAATCATGGTTGTGAAGTTGTTGTAGAGCCCACAAAGCATTCTTATGTTTTGAGTAGGAACACCGTGGTTGCCCATGGCTTTAGTTACCGCTTCTGCCTCGACAATATCAAAGGCCTTTTTTAAATCGATGAACGTCAGCCATAACGGCATCCTACCTTCTGCCGATCCTTTTGAGGATGACGCCTGCAAGGAGCTTGTAGATTACAGACAGCAGGCAAATTGAGCCGTAGTTGCCATAATCGGTGGGATACCACTTCTTGACACCGATACGGTCTTGCTAGTTTTCCACATACGCACCTTACATTCCGACAGGTACCGCGTGAAGAGCCTAGCCAGAGTTTGACGACAACAGGTGAAAGAGTACTTGTACTATCAGGTTTGATCCAACCGGGACCGAGCGCCGTACAATCCCTCATGAACGTGATGGCATGTCGAATTTCAGAAGGGAGAATTGAAGGAACTATATATCCGTCCTGTCTAAAATGGTAGGTGGGCACGTGGGAATTTATCCTGGTCTTATAATAGGCGGAACTCCATCGGGCTTTGCGAATGCCATTTCCGGTCTAGCTACGAAGTTCGGACGTTCATTGGTGATTGCCTGTAGCTCGCGCGATTCTGTGCTGGCGTATACGAATAGAGACGTCCTTTTTCTTCTTGTAGAGTCTCTGCTTTCCTAGCACTATCGTGAAGATGTTCGACGAGAATGGCATCAAGTTGCCTATCTTTTTCAAGAATACCAAAAATTTTCAATGGACGTCATGATAACGGGCTATGCTACTCTTAAAGACAGAACAGGCAAAGATCAGATTAAAACATACCCTTTTATTATGTCTCTTTGTTCGAACAAAGGGTGCATTCTATCTTCTTCTTCCATGAACGGATTATAACTCCTGAAAATTTGTCTGCTCAAATTCTGTAACGCTCGATACCACAAATTCCAGAAAATTGGTTTCCAAGCATTGATTCCTTCAAGTCTACAGGTCAACCGAGAAAAAAGTCTTTCAACATCACGAACTTTGTCTGCTGCGGTGTCCAACCGTCGTCCGTCCGCCTTCGTGCCCGTTCATTTACAGCGATGGAAGGTGGTCTATCTTTCAAAACCACAGATGGAAGAGACGACGAATTCTAAAGATAACATCATAGCCGAGTAGATTTAACTGATGGGACTTATTAGAGAACGCTGGAGGCACTAGGACCAGAAATTATGGTTGAGAATTAATGGTAACTCCCTGAAGGAACATACCCGAACCACTCCAACAGCATCCTTAGCGGACTTCATGAAAGACTCTTCGATTTGCCGAGCGACCTTCCGCTTATGAGTTTCGACCAATTTTTCGTACTGTTGAGCTGTAGGTAAAGATACCATCGCCGACATGATGTTCTAAAATGTTCCCATAGATCCTTCCGTTACTTTACTAAAATGAATGAACTGTTGTGACGAATTCTGTGTTAAGCATCAAGCACGTGAAGTAACTCAATTCATCAAGAATAAAGTAGAAATAAATGAATCCATGGGCATGTGAAAACTTTTTAAAGGTTTCATGTGTGACCACAATTTATCGAGAAATGTGTCACAACATGCGGAGGAGTTACTTTTGCCTATTAGAGTGCTGAAAGACCGTCTGTCTGTCACGAAATTCGATACTACCTGAAGGAACACCTGAAGAGGTCGGGTCAAGTTCGGAATGGGCTGGGCATAGGGCAAGACCAACAGAGCACCCGTGAACTCAGCGGAGCTCCGCACCCAAGGGGCGGGGCATGCGCCGGAATTGGGCGGGATTATGGGCAAATTCTTCTCATACGCTCTCATAACAGCCCAGACGCCGGGAAAAATTGTGCATGGGCGGGGGATGGGTCAACAATTTAGAAAAAGGAAACTTACGAGCGTTGGGCGGAGCGTTCTCGCAGTGGGCGGTACTTTCAACAGAGATTCATAACTTGGTTCAACTAAGGCGTCGAGGCCAGAAAAAATAAAAAGAGTGAGCAAGGCCTCATGAGTGCTGGGCATGCGTGAGCTTGGCAAAGCCCAGCCCACAATGGACGGGGCGTGCGTCGAAATGAAAGCTACTTTTCAAAAATGAATATAACTTCGTTCGAAAACGTTCTAGAATGCGGAAAAAATGGTTAGAAGTAGTGAAACAACTTGGTTAAATCTTCGAAGTGGACGGGGTTGGCACTAAAGTGGGCGGAGCTTAGGTCAGATGTTTATAATTCTATTCAGAAACGTTCTGGGATGCGGCAAAAAGGTGTTAAGGTGTAAAAGAACAAATAAGGTGAGATCCCAGAAGTGAGCGGGGTTGGCATAACGGCTTCTATCAAAAATCCATAAATCCATTTAGAAACATTCTGGGATGCGGGAAAAAGTAGCGATATATAGTTGAACAAATGTGGTCAGATCCCACAAGTGGGCGGGATTGACACTGAAGTGG